TTCTTCTAAAAGTTTTCTAGGTTTAGCTCTCATATTTAAGTTTTCATCTACTTTGAGTTATATTTTGCATATGGACTGAGGCAGAGGTACAACTTATCTACTTTCACATGGTTATCCAGTTGTTCCAGGTTCATTTGTTGAAGAGACTCTTCTTATGGATTAAACAATCTCAACACCCTTGTTGAAAATAAATTAGCAATAGGTGTTTTGGTTCATATCTAGATTTCAATTCTATTTCATTGGACTTGTTTCCTCTCTTTTTTTCTTTGTCTTTTTGCCAGAAGTTTATTGCTTTGACTATGGCAGCTGTATAGCAAGTTATCAAATTGGGAAGTTGAGTCCTTCCCCTGTAGTTCCATACGAATTTGGAGGATGGGCTATTCCATTACTGCAAAAAGGCCTTTGGAATTTTGAGGGGGCTGCACTGAATCTTTATATTGCATCAGGAAGTACTACCATCTTATCAATGTTAAATCTTCCCATACTTGTATATGGGATGGTTTTTCATTTACTCATTTTGTTTAGCAATGGTTTTAATTTTTAATATACAAGCCTTTCACCTCTTTCCCTATTTCTACTAATCAAGATTGTATATGTCAACAAATAAAAGAAAACCTTGTAACAATAAAATAAATTAATAAATTTTACATAAGGATGGATAAATGGTGACTTTAGGTAGTGAACACACAATGCAATATACAGATGATGTATTAGAGTTGTACACTTGAACTTATAGAATTGTATACTTAAAAAAAGAAAAGATTGTACACATGAAACCTAAGTAATTTTATTAACCAATGTTGCCCCAATAAATTTTTTAAAACTTAAATAAAAAATTAAAAAAATAAAATTTTAAAACTTCTAGGAAAAAAACTAAGTCTGACTGGAATGTATGTAAGTATGTGAAACTGGCAAGCAAGGAGGCTATAAAGCAACATTACATTCTAATGAAGGAATCAGCAAACTTCTTAAGAGTCCAGATAAAAATATTTTAGGCTTAGAGGTTACATAGTCTTTTGTGTACTTTTGCAGCAAAAAGGCAGCCAAATATAGCCAAAGGCAACATGTAAACAAACAGAAATATCCATGTCCAATAAAATTAACTGCAATCACAGGCATCCAAGCCACCAGCCAAATCCTGCTCTAGTTAGTAAGAATATATTTCATTACTGCCATGGGTTAGACACAGTCAAATTACTTACTATATATTGTGAGACAGAGCAAATAAGTAAATATACTGTGAATGAGATCCAGGTTTCTCACTGTGTGAAAGGGAGCACAAATATAGAGTATTTATATGCACGTGTATGTACACATACCCACAAATACTTCTAGCAGTATTACCGAGGATATCTAGAAGAAATGACACCCAGTAGTGATAATAATACCTAGTGCCCAGATCAAAGTTTCTATTATTAAGATTCTAGAGCTGGGGCTGAGAAAGCAGAAGATGAGCCTGTAACATCTTCCTATACCAGAAAGTAAGAAAATGCTAAAAAATGATAGGTTATATTAAAAGGATACAGGAGCCAACTTGAAGAGGCTCTCACTAGTGAAAATTGGGGTAATTTGGGTATCAAAACAAATAACCCAGAGAACAAAAGATTCCATCAGTATATGCTAACATAAAGAAATTAATAAAAATAAATGGGAGGGGAAGGGAAAAACTCTTCCTCTCAGCATATTGCCAACTAACAAAAGTAGAAGAAATGATGAAATCAGAAAAGATCATTGGACAGATACTATCCTTATGGTTGTTTCAGACCTGTTATCGATAGGTGCTAAAAGGATATGGATAGTTACATAGTTGCAAAGAATCTCCCCATAAATTCTTTAAGAATTGCAAAGGAAAAGAGTAACTTTACTGTGGAGAAATCTGGAGGACAACACTGTAACTAAATTATCAGAGTTAAATGAAACATACTAATTATGAGACAAATAGGTATCATCTAACTTGCGATATCTGACATGCATTAAGAACAAATCACTTTTGTGACATCAAAATTACAACTAAACTATAGAACAACAATCATTCAGAACTGTCAGAAATTAAGCTGAATGCAATTCCTACACTGTGGAATTAAAGAAGAAACCACATTGAGACTGGTAGAAGAAGAGACATGGAACAAGCTGGTCCCACACCCACAGGCGGCAGATAAAAATTGGAAGGGGTATTTCAGGAGCGAGGGGTCCCAGCCCCACACCAGGACCCCGAGCCTAGGATTCCAGTACTAGGAAGATAAGTCTCCGTAACTTCTGGTTGTAAAAACCAGTGGGAGTTGAAGCTGTGGAAGACAGAAACTGCTGGACTTCCTCCTTTCCTCTTCTTCTTCAAGTGCCTTCACACAGAATTACTTGAATCACTCCCTCTGAGCTCCAGCATCAGAGCAGCAACTTGAAAGGTACGAGAGCATACAGGGAGAAACTGAACTTTTTTGGCATCAGGGTGACAGCTGGGGGAATGCTTTTACCCAGACATAAGTGCCGGCAGAGGCCACTGTTCCTTTTTTGAGCTCTTCCACCATAGAGCCACAGAGCCAGCAGGCAAGCTCCATATCTGAGACTCCTTCAATCTGGCTAACACTGTTTGCCCCACCCTGGTAAATCCCTGTTGCCCTGGCCCAACCAACTTTTGGGCCCACCAAAGCTTGTTTCCAGTGGCTTTTCCATATGAACAGCCTGTCTTGGCCCATGCTCCAGATTTTCCTAAATACTCTAAAACAAGCAGCATCTGGCTTCAGCAAGCCCCGTACTCTAAGTGGCCCCAAGCCTAGCACTAGCAGCAGATGGCCTTGGTTCACAGCTTGGCCTTGCCTGGGCACCTTTGAGCCCAGCACAAGTAGCAGCCATCTGCAGATTGCTTTGTCGCTTATGCTGTGTGAACCCAGACAGAACACGGTCAGTGGTTGACCTTGGACATGCCAATAGCAATCAAGGCTCAACTACAACAGGAGGGTGTACACATCCCACATCATGGGTGCACCTTGAGTTCCCAGCTTGAGTAATAGGGGAGGCTATGCCACTGGACCCTACAAGACACCTGCTACATTAGGCCACTCAACCAAGCCTGACAGGCATAGCTGCTCTACCACAGAAACAAACATAGGAAGGCTGCCAAAATAAGGAGACAAAGAAACAAGGCCCAAATGAAAGAATAGATCAAAACTCCAGAAAAAGAGGTAGACAAAATGAAGACCAGTAATCTACTAGATGCAGAATTCAAAACGCTGGCTATATGGATGCTCAAGAAACTTAGTGAGACTCTCAACAGCATAGAAAAAGATCCAGTCAGAAACAAAGGATAATTAACTAAAATAAAAAACAATTTACAGAGAATTAACAGTAGAGTGGATGAAGCTGAGAATCACATCAGCAAACTGGAATATAAGGAAGAAAAAAAAAAAACCCAATCAGAACAGCAAGAAGAAAAAAGAATCCGGAAAAAAAAAAAATTGAGGATAGTGTAAAGAGCCTCTGGGACAACTTCAAGTGTACCAACATTCACCTCATGGGGGTGCTGGAAGGAGAAGAGAGAGAGAGAGAGAGAGAGAGAGGGAGAGAGAGAGAGAGAGAGAGAGAGAGCAAGAAATTGTAAACCTATGTGAAAAATGACTGAAAACTTCCCTAACTTGATGAAGGAAATAGACATACAAGTTCAGGAAGCACAGAGTCCAAATCAAGATGAACCCAAAGAGGACTACACCAGACACATCATATTAAAACGTCAAAGGTTAAATACAAAGAATCTTAAAAGCAGCAAGAGAAAAGTAGTCAGTTACCTACAAGGGAGCTTCCGTAAGACTATGAGCTTATTTCTCAAAAGAAACTGCATCTAGAAGGGATTGACAAGAAATATGCAAAGTAATGAAAAGTAAGGACCTGCAACTGAGATTACTCTACCCAGCAAAGATATCATTTAGAATTGAAGGACAAGAAAAAGCTAAAGGAGTTCATCACCACCAAACCAGTATTATATGAAATGTTAAAGGTTCTTCCTTAAGAAGATAAAAAATATGAACAATAAAATGGCAATAAATAGTTACCTATCAACAATTGAATCTAAACATTAAAAAGAAATAAACAAGCAAAACAGAAATTAGAATCATAGATACAGAGAACATTTTGATGGTTGCCAGCTCAAAGTGGGGTTGGAGGCATGGACAAAAAAGGTGAGGGGATTAAGAAGTACAAATGGGTAGTTACAGAATAGTCATGAGGATATGAAGGGAATGCATAGGGAATAGAGTAGCCAAAGAACATATATGCATGACCCATGGACATGGACAACAGTGTGGGGATTGCCTGAGGGTGTGCATGGGGGGAGTGGAACTGAGTGGAGGGGACACAAGAGGGGAAAATCGGGACAACTATAATAGCATAAATAAAATATAATTAAAAATATACCTCTTGTGGTATTTTTTGATAATTCCAACTTATCATGATGGCTATCCTCAACTGAGATACATAAATATTCTATACTCTTGAAAAAGTAAAGGTCATGAAAGACAAAAACTAAGGAACTGCTCCAGATTAAAGAAGACTCAAGAGATACAACAAATGCAATGCATAATTCTAGACTGAATCCTGGACCAGAAGAAATATCTTTTTTCTTTTCCTATAAAGAACATTAGTGAGATAATTGACAAAATTTGAATTAGGTGTATATATTAGGTGATAGTTATCAATATTAATTTCTGATCTAATATAAGTTATTTAAGAGTATCCTTGTTTTTAGGAAATATACATTGAAGTATTTAGGAGAAAGTTTGCATCACATCTGTAACTTATTCTCAGCTACTTCATAAATGATATAAATATATAATATTAGAGGGGGAAAGTGAAAGGAATGAGAATGATAAAACAAACATAATAAAATGTTAAATGAGAAACTGGGTTGATTGTTTTTGTACTATTTGAAGCTTTTTATACTGAAATAATTTCAGATTTCAGAATTATTTCAGAAGTAGAGAAAAGTTAAACAGAATTTTAAAACAGCTTACTGCTCTGTATTTTCTTGGATATTCTTAAGTGGTTTCTGGATGTTTTCACACTTTTCCTCCAAAGCACAGAACCTCTCTCCCCAAAGATTGATTAACTGGCAAAGTTCCTGTAAGAAAGGTGTGGGGAGGGGAAGAGAATGAAATTATGACACTTGAACTTTTTTCCTATACTGCCATCAGGTATTTTCCCATAGGTGACAATTATATAATTTCCTTACGAGAGTTACTTAATTAAAATAAACAAACAAGCAAATTTTTTTAAAAAAGAGTTGTTTAACGCTACCTCTCTCCCATAGAGGGAAGCAGCGGAGGTTGATATTAAAAGCATATCAACCTATAATATTATAGGGATTTTTTAAAGAGTAAATAATGAGCAAGTTGGTATTTTAAAACTTACTTTTAGTGTTCCTCTAAAGTAACCACATATATCAAAATGACACATTATGTTTGAGAGCCACTTTAACAAATACATAGTTGCTTCTTAAGTGGTAACACCACTAGAAGGAAAAGGTGATGCTGATAAACTCATGGGTCAAGCAGTCCAAAACTGTTACCAGAGCTGAAACATTTTATAGAGCCTAGTTGGATCATATTAATAATGTCAGTATAGAGTGTTACCTTTACTCATACTTGGTATCTTTAAAAACAAGCTCTTATAGGCATACAACATGCTAGAGACTTATACTGCAAAATGAAGAAGCCACACTAAAGACCAAGGAAGACTTGAAAAAGAACCAAGTATTCTTATCACTGTTCAGTCCATTAGTTGACCAACATCTTTGAATAACACATCAGCAGATAAAACATAACTAACACTTTGATTATGTATAAAGTCTGTCAATATTTTTACTACTCTCAGAATAGAAGGAAATGCAGGTATTATCAGAAAAACCTACATGTAAACAGGTGTTCAGAGTTTTACATAATTGTTTTGTTAGTGCTAACTTCAAGTTCTACAAAGTTGAAGAAATTCTCACTTAGTAAACTTGCTTCCTCAAAGCCAGAGAATTCAAACATCCACACTAAAATACTTTTTAGATCACAGGTATTGTGTTTGTTTTTAAACATTTCAATATCCATTTTAAACATTCAAAACAGCTAATTTATAAAAAGTTTATCTACCTTAGAATATATACCTAAAAAAGTTCTAAACAGGTTTAAGGTAAATAACCCTATGCAGAGGCATGAGTCATTGCTGCAATTTCTAAGTGCAAGAAAATACACAGACCTGACTGGTAGCTCAGTGGCTGAGTGCCAGCCTGCGAACCAAAGGGTCACTGGCTCAATTCCCAGTCAGGGCACATGCCTGGGTTGCAGGGCAGGTCCCCCATAGGGGGCACAAGAGAGGCAACCACAGATTGATGTGCCTCGCCCTTTCTCTCTCCCTTCCCCTCTCTAAAAAATAAATAAGTAAATCTTAAAAAAGAGAAAATATATATGAAGAGCACTCAAAAATAAATGCCTTTCAGGCAATGTAATCACTAGCACCCTGAAAGATGATATGAATACTGCTAGATTCTTGCAAGGCCTCTGGTTCCTCATTAGAAAACTGGGCTAGTAATAAAACTTGTATCTATATTGGTTGGTAGGAGAAATTAAACATAAGTTGCTCAAGAAATTTTAATTATTTTTACGAATTTCTGATGTCAATCCTTTCTCTGAAAAGTTTCATTAGCATCAATTAGGAAAACGATTCAACTTTTTTTAAAGTTGCTTTATTTCTTACCTAAAAATCTTGGACGTGTTGTTGTTCTCATTTTTGATGACATGGATATTTTCTCTCTCCCTCTCTTCCCCCTGCCAAAGAATCCTTTACTACCCACTAAATTATGTCAACAGTTTTATTGACTAAAGAGTTCTGCCATGTATAATAGCCTCACTTAATAAAAACTTTAGACATTCATTACTAAGGCCTTAAAAATACCAGTTGTTTTTCATATGTCTGATATTTATAGATAATGACCTTCTTGGTTTGAAGGTTTGGTTTTAGTTTAAAGGCTCATATACTAAGAAATAGTTTACATGCAGGAAGATAGGTCATGAATTACATTTATAATCAAATGAATAAAAACTGAGAACTATATTCATTTACTACAATTTAAATGTCTGACATGGGTGAGATAGAGACAGTAAGAGGAAAGCAAGGTAGAGTTTATGACAGTAACTATCCATGTCACCCTAGGAAAAAAACAATTTTCCAAGTATCAATGTAGATACAGGTTCATTTAAAATGCTATAACCATTTTCTTCTAATTGTATTCCCAAAGGTATGTTTCTCCAGCATCATTGTTCATTGTAGTGTGAGGAAGACTGACCTGTTTGTCTGATTGTGCTTTAGCGTACAGTTCTAAATGTAGCAAATTCTCAAATAGTAACTGACTGAGAAAAGCATTCTCATTATTTTACATTAATTACTGTTAAAAGCAACAGTGGCTTTGGCATTTTCAGGTTTCTAAATTAGTTATATAACATTCAGATTGTATAACAAGGATTATCAAACTAAAGATCATAAAAAAACTTTCTTTTTACACTCTCCAAATCACCCAAATAAGATACCTGTGAATGGATTTTCTTTATTGTCTTCAGGTCTTCAGTTAAATTTTCACATAGCTTCTGTGACTCAGCCAAGGAAGAAATCGTATTTTCTTGTAGTTCACGTAGATTGTCAGAGAGCATACTGAGAAAGCCATCCATTTCCTTTTTCTGATCTTCTATCTTTGAAAGAAAAACATTAATTTCTTTTTTAAATTAAAAAATTTAATTCTGTTGATTCCTAGTCAGGGCACATGCCTGGGTTGCAGGCCATGACCCCCAGCAACCACACATTGATGTTTCTCTCTCTCTCTTTCTCCCTCCCTAAAAATAAATAAATAAAATTTTTTTTAAAAAATTTAAGTTTGTTTTTATTTTTTGAATACATACAAAATAGAAAAGGTAGAAAACATTATGCAAAGTCCTTTCTTCTCTCTAGCCCCTAGAACCTCATTCCTACTCTCACCTGAAAGATTTGTATCATTTTTAAACAATTCCAAAGACATTTTATGTATAATTAGACATACATGCATGCATGCATGTGTACATATATGTATCTTCCTCACCCACCACATGATACCATGCTGCATGTTACTTTGTGAGCTTTAACATTTATCTTTATCATTCCCTCTCACTTTTCTTAGCCATGATTCTGCTGACTACATCAACGGCAGAGTGCATGTAGCTGCTTCTTCCTCTTAGATTCCTTCTCAGAACCCATGAGTTTTGCATGTAGACAAATCTCCAGGTGTGATAACAGATAGGTTTTTTTCTTAAACAATTTGATTTTGAGATAACATTTATTACCTTATTAGCCACTGTCAGTGAAGTCTTGAAAATATGCTTGAGCTGACTATCAATTTTCAGTATAGCCAACACAGTGGGGGATAAAATTGTTTCCAGTGAACTTAGAAGGTCAGTCTTAAGTACATTCTGGTTTTAAAAATAAAAACAAACAAGTCTTTAAAAGTAATATTTTCATGTCCATAAACCTGGCTGGTTAAATCTCTTAAATATTTTAACTAAATATGTTCATATTCAAATTCTAAGTATCCCATTTTCTATTCTTTAAAGCCTATTTGTTACAAGAGTTTAAATTCTATAAAAAGTATTAAATACTTTTTTTAAAAGGCTATCATTCATTGGGAAAGAAGTATCACTCTAATTTCAAATAATTCTGTGGGAGCAGCAGTCATCTCTTTGACTCAAGCAATGCTTATGACCTGGTAGAAAGACATCAATAAATACAGATTATCATCTAGTTAATGAATCAATTTCCAAAAAGTTAGTATTGACAGCATCTCTTAACTTTGTCAAATTTTGGTGATTGAAGAAATCTATCAAATAATGTCATACAAGCACTGAATCTAGGCAGTGTCAGCTAACATTTGTGGTATCTACTTGGAAAATGTTCAACAAATATTGTCAATCTCAAGAAGGGAACAAAGAGCCTACATAAAGAAGTGATATGGCAAAGAACTTCCTAGACGAATCACACAATTACAAAATAAAGAATATACAATGCAATAAAGTATGGAGGAGGTAGTATTAAGTATAATAAGACAAGTGACTTCTATAGAACTGTGAAAGAGCGTCTTAATGTTAAGGCCCATAAGGACTTGATCACACAGATTTGGCCTCACAAATTGTTCTGTGATTCGAGCATTCTATATTCTAAACTATTTTTCTTGCACATCTTTTTACATTACTGTAGTTTTAAAATTAAGTAATTAACCAGTTAATATCTCTTTCTGGTTGGGTCAGTGTAACATCAGCAGGACCATTCCAGGACTCCTACAGAAAGAATAATTTACCTATTTCTGAGCCAGCTGGCAAAGTCATGGGTCCTTGACTTCATCTGGAGCTAAATCTATCCTTTTTAGTAATTAGAAGGCTCTTTTTTGTTTTCTTAATTCCCATTTCTTAACTTGAGAGAGGGAGGGATAGAGAAACATCAATTTTGTTTTTCCACTTGTTTACGCATTCATTGATTGATTCTTCTACGTGCCCTGACCAGAGATGGAACCCATAAACTTGGCATATCAGGACAATGCTCTAACCAGTGAAGCGACCCAGCCAGGGCCCATAGTTCTTGCTTTTAATGTTACAAGACATAAGTGAAAAAAGTTTCAAAGGCTGGTTGTATGCATTTGGAAATTAATCTTTCTGGGCAAGAAAACAATGCAGAGATTTGTCTTTAAAATATAAACCTACTTTCTTTCTTTCTTTTTTTTTTTCTGAGTCCCCCACCTCTCTTCCCTTTAAACCTACTTTCTTAAAGTGATGTGTTTATCACTGTATCTAATAAAGCTAAGATGAAATATTTAACATTGTTTTTGAAGACTTAGCAAACATAACCCTTCAAAAATACTTTAAAATATTTACTAACAATCAATGTCTGAAGTACAGTTTTACTTTCTTCTGCAATTGACTGTTCTTTTAATATCATATCAGAAATCTGAGAAACATGTGTAGACACATTTTCTGGAATACATGTGAGAGATCCAAGTGCTATCGTAGCAATGGTGTCTAATGCAGAAACACTGGAAGACAGCAGGTTACCTATACCAAAAAAATAAAATAGATGTAAGCTTTAACATAAACATATTTAAATACAGTTACAACCACCTCAAAGAGGTTGGCAGAATTATATCTTTGTTGTGGAAATTTGTTATAACAAATGAGCTTAACATAATTATCTCACTACATAAGGAAAAATTTTAAATATAAATTATATTTGTTCTACAGTATTCTATAAGCATTTGACATATCTGTAGGTATACTAGATGCAAAGCTAGTAACTCACAGTAAACCAAGAATTAGAATATTCTAAAATGAATCATTTTTAAAATTTAATAAACAATATTATTGTAGGTAAAAGAGAAACTAGAAATCGATAAACAAAATGTATAGTGGTGGGCTTATAATGACTAGACTGTGGGTGATTTAAAACAATTTTTACATTTCTGTATCTCCCAAATTTTCTATGAGGATAATACCTTCATAATTAATAAGCTAATACTTAGTATTTTTCCTAAATGAAGATAATAAATAATGATACATATATACATTCTGACAATGCAGCAAACATTCAAGATACACATTCTAAAAAAAAAAAAAATACAAAATATTTATGTATAGAAAATTTCTAGAAACTCAAGAAATTTAACAGTAGTACCTATGGAGAATGAGGCAGGGTCAGGTTAAAGGGACTTTTAAAGTTTATATACTTAGTTATTGTTTAATAAACATAAGTTATTTTATAGAAAACAGAAAAAAAAACCAACAACTAAGATTTGTTTTAATGCACAGGCAGTGAAAGCATTAAACCCTAGTGTGAACAGATACTGTGTGTGCACTGGAGTGAACTAATGACACTGTCACCTGCATTTCTTATGACATTAAACTATTAGTTTCAAAATTAGTCTCACCCTGAACACACAAAGACTAGAATAATTAGAAATCCCTGAACTTACCAAACAAGGTCTTGTGAACTTCCAACATAGCCTTTTGTTTTGAACTGCCATCCTTTATTAATTCTTTCATACTATTAAAAAGACTATTCAGATTTTTGCCAAAAATATCCTGAGCTTCTGCATTGTGCTGATCAACTGCCTTCTTACGGTCCAGCTTGGTATGGAGACCAGATACATCTTTTGTAGTTTCTTCAACTGTGTTAAGCAACTGTATATGATTTTTAAAAAATAAATGTTGATCAGATGGTTATGACAAAAACTATGAGAAATATCTGTGTTACATAAGGATTGTCTCCTAAAGAAAGCTTGCAGGTTTTATATGCTGCATCAGAAAAAAAAATTAAACTCATGCTAACTTATCTAGGAATATTTATTTCCCCTCCTTAGCCATCTAGGCAAGGAAAACTGATTTTGCCAATTATAGTAATTATGCTCCCCTACAAGTTTTTTCCTATTATGTGTTACTATTTCCTTAAAAGTACACCTAATAAAAAATTAAGTTCTCTCAACATCTTCCATCATCAGAAGGTACTAAACTCTCAATGCCTGATTCATTTCAATCATGACCACAGGAAAAAGCATTACATCATTATTCTAAATGTCCACAAAGCATATTAAAGTCATGTTCTATTCACAAAACTTCTGAAAGCGTTTCTTAAGTTAGCATCTCCAGAGAAGAAAATTTATATAAAATGTCGCTTAGGGTGAATAAATAAAATTTCACAATTAATGCTAAAGCAAAGTAAGTTACTTGTGCTTATTCTCTAATTTCTTTAGTGAAAATACAATCAAAATAAAGGACAAACCTTGCTGGCAGTATCATGAAGTTTCTTCTCAGTACTTTCCAAAACTGATGTGATATACTCTTCTTTAACAAGCTGTAGTTTAGTTTCTTGTAAATGTTTTTGAGTGGTTTTAAGCTCCTGTGTCTTATTTTGCAGGTCAGATTTACACTGGTCAAGTTCATTTTTATTATCCATGAACAATTCTGAAACCTAAGTTTAACATATTAAACATTTTTTTAAGAATTAAAAATACTGAACTGGTTGGTGAGACACCCAGCTAGTTCATAATATAATATTAAAAAAAAACACACAAATTATTTCCATGCAAAATTGTAACAAGTTTTAAGTTAAACAAATTGTTTCCATGTAAAATTGTAACAAATTGTAAGTTACCAGGTAGGTTAGCACCTTTTATATGGCACCTAGTTTCTTCCTATAAGTTAATTAAAAACAAATAACAGTGTAGTGGTATTAATTCCTCAGGATTTAGCCAACACTGCCAATGTGAGGGTGGCACAGAAGGAACAGGTCTTTACATCTTAATTATTTAACATCTGTTTTCTCCCAATATCACATTCTCTCATCTGATAAACACGTTAAAAAGCAAGTGTGTCAACATCAACTATTGAGCTTGAACAATAAAATCACATAATTCAATTAATTTCTTGTAATTTTCTGTTAATTTTTTGTAATGTTGCATTAATGCTAAGTGTCAAAATAGTTTCATTACAATTGATAATAAAATTATGATACAACTTATTTCTACTGTAAGGATCAGCAAGAAAAAAAATCTTAAAGAAAAATTACCAGGTCCCTCACATTTTGAAATTTTCTTTAAATATCTGCTGTTTACATAACATTCAATATTGTTTGGAATACTTACCCTACTTAGCTCCTCCTCAAGGGCACCAATTTTTTCAGTCAATTCTACAATCTGTTCTTCTTGAACAGTTAGTTTTCCATTCATGACTCTAAAACAAAGTTTAATATGAATTTATTAACAATTACTATTTTTTCCTAATTCTGATACAATTTATTCCAACACAATTGTGGCAATTACACATCAGCTGTGCCATTTATCACTATTGTGATGATGCCTACATGTCAATAAGCAGTACATATAAATTGTGAAAAACAAATGTATTTTTGGTTCTTGTTTAATAATTGTTTTTCCTGTTATCTCCATTTTGAAAATAAGAATCCTTACCTAAAAGGGGGGAAATATATGCATATAAAAATTGAGAAGCAACAAAGCTAACAACAGAATATAACTCACACAAAGTAGAAGTAGGGGGAATACAACCTAAGTGTCTATAATAAAAAATATGGAGCATAAATAGGACATAGAAAATCCAGGAAAGGCTTGGGATTTGAAGGCATCAGGTATTACAGGAGGAAGGAATGAAATAAGGGGCTAAAAACTGGACAACTAAATTAAAGTATTTAGACAGGGCAATTATACCTCTTACCATTAACTTACATACCCAATATACCCCAATATCACATCACCACAGAAATTCTCAGAAGAGCACAGGGTTACTCTCTAGAGCACAGTTCCTCAGCCTCAGCACTACTGACATTTTGCACTAGATAATTCTGGTCCACTTTAATGGGTCTCTTATTTCTTGAGCACTAACAAGTTTTGGGAGTGAGTGCTGTTTTTAACATTTCTCCACCTGCCAGTTCCTTCATAACTACCAACAATTTTCTATTCCACACTGTGCTAAATGACAGAGATTCTCTTGTGAATGAAAATTTTATCAAATTATTAGCTAGAGAATTGTGGATTAAAGGAAAAGCTGGAACTGAGGTATCAGAGGACAATTCTAACAGTCTTTTGATTAACTATTATATATAGTTCTTTATTGGAAATGGGTCTTTTATATAGAATAGGATATTTGAAATGCTTTTCTTTTTGTTTTTTGAAGATTTTATTTATTTTTTGAGAAGGGAAGGGAAGGAAACAGCAATGTGTGGTTGCCTCTCGTGCGCCCACTACTGGGGACCAGGTCCACAACCCAGGCATGTTCCCTGACTGGGAATTGAACCAGTGACCCTTTGGTTTGCAGGCCGACACTCAATCCACAGAGCCACACCAGCCAGGGCTGAAATGTTTTTCTTATATTGAATGTACAGGTAATGCAACATTATTATTTCACTGATAATATAGTTTCAAAAGGTCTATTAAGCTTGGTATAAATAAAGCATTATCTTGTTTGAAATGTTGGCTGCAGCTTTTGTGATCCTTCTCTGACTTCCAAGAAAGAACTTTGTCTATTAAAATCAAACACTATCTTCAATCATGGGATTTACAAACTAAAAATAAAGCTATTTCTTAATCTAAAACACATCAAAGAGATGAACAGAAGATAAGAAAATTAGACAATCAGTCCCCAATGTCTCATGTTTGACTACTAATAGAAGAAAACACTATATAAGCAGATCAAGGAACAAAAACCTCATGTACATATTCATTGGTTAAGCACCCATTTCCAGCATCCAGATTTCCTTCAGGGAACGATTCTCCCCTGACTCAGCTGAATGGCGGTGCTTGACTCCATCCCGAGATCTGCGGACTAAGCCTGACGGGCTCACAACGAGTAGGGCAACTCAATTCCTCTTCCAGTTACTAGTTCATATGTATGCACAACTCAGGCCTAAACTATCATTAAGCGATATCCCCGTGGCCAGTTTTGACAGTAAAAGGACAGAAAGCCTCTCATCTACAACAGACCTGAATGACCGCATGTAGCTGTCCTGCTGCTGACCATCATTCCCTGATGAACAGCCAGCTCTAGGAGGAAGCCACCATGAAGAACAGGAGTGGGAACAGAGAGAAACTAGACCCTTGAGTTGCTGGATTAAATAATCTTGAAATTCATTCTATCCCTTACTGTTTTAAGACAGTTTAAGTTCAGTATTCTAACAACCAAGAGCATCTGATACCTAACTTAAAATAAAGTGTTTATTCAATTAAAATTAATGTTTAAAAATATAAAAATGATAGAAATAGTGATACCTGTAAAGTGAATAATTGAAAGATATAATGAAATACTCTCATGTGTAGAGTGAAGAAGTATTTCTGAAAACCAGAGAAACACATGCAAAAAAAAAAATCAAGTTTAAGAATTAAGTACAAATTTATAAAAGATTTTTGTAAAAATTGTTTTGTCAACTGGGTATGGGCTATAACAGAAGTAAATAAAACTGAAGTTACACAGAAAGAATAAAAGAAATATTGTTTAATAAGCTGTGATGCTCAAAATATATCAATTTAAGTATTTGTAAAAGTAACATGTGAACCATTCAGGAGAATATAGCACCTTGACAATGGAAAATAACATAGGAAAAATGAGTTTATTAAATGATTTATATACTATTGGAATGATTATATCTCTATAAAAAGTATAAGATTCTATTAAAACGTTTCTGGTTATTATTAATTAGTTCTAAATACCTTTTATCATTATTATTAAAAAAATGCCATGTGAAAGTCACCCTCCTTAATATCTTCAGGGATAAAAGCACTAAAAAATTTTCAATTTATAATCCTCTGCCCTTTGTTTAATTTGTTGTTGTTACTGCTTCTACCTAAAGCTTCATTAGAAGTTTTCCTTTGAACAAACTACTCCAGGGCTTTAAAAAGTGAATAGATTAGTGGTTGCTGAGGGTTAGGGATCACTGGAGAAGGAGGTGGATATTACTTATAAAGAGGTGTCAAGAGGGAGATTTTTGTGATGATAGGATAGTTCTGTACCTTAAATGTAGAACTACACAAATCTACAAATGTGATAAAATGGCACAGAAATATACACATACATTGTACCAATGTCAATTTCCCAATTTTGACACGGTACTATAGTTATTTAAGAGGTAATCAATGGGTGACTGAATGGAAAACAAACGGAACTTCTTTGCACTCTTCTTATAATTTCATATGAATCTATAATTAAATTATTCTAAAAATAAAATTATATAAAAACTTTTTAAACTGTTTGATAACTACTTGTTAATATCAAAAGAGAAACAAGCATTTGTAGGAGGAACTATATATAAGATTTTATTTACTGTCAGATAGGTAAATTTTACTTCAAACAGGCTATTATCAGAAAATGCTTATATTTGGGGAGGCAGAGAAGGATACCAGTGGAAGGAAGGGGAAGGGACTAGTCGAAGAACATGTATGAATGACACAAGGGCTTACCTAAAATTTTCTTCAGAAATGTACACCCCATTTTTTTCACGGGCTGCGGCAAGATCTCGCTTCAGACGCTCTATCTCTTCTGTATATTCCTAAACAAAAATGTTGTAGGTGTAAATTTAGAACTTAACTTTTTTAAAATGAGATTTTGGGAGGATATACAACAAATAAAGTTGGCCTAAAAAGTCATAACCATATTTTTCATTGAATACTAATCTGTTTAGAATAAAGTCTTTCAACAGCTTTCAAAGAGCCCTTAAATGTACTCATAAAAACACAGCTTCTGGAAAAAAAAAAAAAAATCAACAACCTCCAGTACCCAGGTTGGTCTTCAAACAGCATTTCACACAATAAACAGGATTCCTTGGGGAATTGTCCGACTCTACTGGGGCAAGAAACATTCGAGATGAACCCAGAACACTTTGTCAAACAAAATAGGAGGGAAGATTAAAAAAGCTTAGGCTAGGAAAAGGGACTCAAGAACTCACATGAAGAGGTTACTACAGACCAAAGGAAAAACAATTTAAACATCAGTGATGATAGAAACTACAATTTTAAGTTACAGTTAACATAAAAGATTTTAAGTCCATGAGTTTATAATGACATTATGAAAGTTATGAAACCAACTCATTCTCAAAACTGTCATATAAAGGAAATGAATCAAGTTATTTTTCCTGCCTTCCCTGTAAGAACTATACTCTTGGGTAGCTAATGCAAGATCCTCTTTACAGAGGTGGTCTGGCAATCAATTAAGAGCAACTGAATTAGAACATTACCATTTTGCAACCCTTAAAGAACTAATGTATCAAATCACTGAATATCAATCATCAATTCCTCACAAAAAGATAAAGAAGCAGACATGTTTCCTGGTGGGAGAACATACCACCATCTATGAAACAATTTTGCCAAAAAATACATAAATACAATAAAACCTGAATCTATGAAGCCTCGAGATCCAACTACCAATTTATAGAAAAATATAAAGAAGAGAACATATCTGAGATACCACAGGACAAATAATACAGGTACTTTCTCAAATAAATTATGGTGGAGAGGGGGGAGATGAAAGGAGAACCAATGTATTAAGACCAAAGATAACCAATGTACTGAAACCAAAGATATCCAAAAACTGCAAAGGGTAAACCTTATCTGGATCCTAAAACAAACTACTAAAAAAAGTATATAGGACTTCCAGTTAAGATGGCAGCATAGGCAGACATGACTTGCCTCATCCCACACCATATCAAAATTACAACTAAAATATAGAACAATAATCACTCAGAACCATTAGAAATCAAGTTGAATGGAAGTCTGACAACTACAGAATTAAAGAAACCACATCCATTCAGACTGGTAATAGGGGCAGAAGCAGAACAAGCAGGTGCCACATCTACGTCGGGCAGATAAAAATTAGGGAGGGATATCTCAGGTAGAGGAGTCCCAGCCCCACACCAGGCCCCCCAGCTTAGGGTTCCAGTGCCAAGAAGGTAAGTCCCCACAACTTCTGGCTGCAAAAACCAGCAAGGATTCAATCAGTTGAAGAAACTGCTGGAGCCCCAAGCAGTTCCTCTTAAAGAACCCTCACATGGACTCACCTATTTAGACTCACTCCCTCTGAGCTTCAGCACTGAGATAGCAGCTTGAAAGGCACCAGTGGCATACAAGAGAAACAGAAGTGTCTGGCATCAAGGCGAGCAGAGGCCGTTGTCCCTTTTTTAAACCCTGCCCACACAGAACCACACAGCTGGCAAGCTGGTGCCATGTCTGAGACTCCAAAACCTGGCTAACACTGTTTGCCCTGCCCTGGAGATCCCATGAGACTCCAACCCACTCGATTTATGGGCCCACCCAAGCTGCTTTTCCATACGAATGGCTGGCCATGGCTTATGCTTCACAACTTCCCAAATTCTCTCAAACAAGCAACAGTTGGCCTTAGTGAGCCCCAGTCCTAGCACTAGCAGCAGCCAGTGTAGATTCACAGTTTGGCTTCACTTGGGAATCTCCAATCCCAGCACAAGTAGCACACATCTCAGACAGGTCTATAGTTCATGCAGGGTGGCCCCAGGCAGAACACAGGTAGGGGCTGACCTCGGCCTATACCATCTGGCAAATCCCAGAACCTGCTCACTCAGTGGACAACTACAGACTGTGCTGGAGCACCACCACCCTGCCCCTATACAGCTGGTCCTCCAGAGGTCAGAGGTTGGTGGTCAGTGGTCAGAGCTAATCCTTGCACCTGAATGCCAACAGCAATCAAGGATCAACTACAAGAGGAGGGTGTACTCAGCCTACACAAAGGGCGCACCTGAAACACCCAGCTTGGGTAGTAGGGGAGGGTGTGCCACTTAACCCTATAGAACACCTACTATACTAGGTCATACTACCAAGACACAGAGTCAAAGCAACTCTTCCTAATACAGAGAAACAAATACAGGGAGGCTGCCAAAACAAGGAGACAAAGAAACATGGCCCAAATGAAAGAATGGGTCAAAACTCCAGAAAAAGAACTAAACAAAATGATGACAAGCAATCTAGAGTTTGCTTATCAAAACACTGATTTGAACTCTGCATCTGAGGAACTTAAACTCATGCTCAAGGAACTCATGCTCAAGGAACAGCATTAAAACAGTCAGAAATGAAGAATACACTAAAAAATAAAGAACAATTTACAGAGAAACAACAGTAGAGTGGATGAAGCTGAGAATCAAATCCATGATTTGGAACATAAGGAAGCAAAAAACAACCAATCAGAACAAGAAAAAAAAAGAGGCCCCCCCGCCCAAAATGAGGATAGTGTAAGCAGCCTCTGGGACAACTTCAAGAGGTACAACATTCTCATCATAGGGATGCCAGAAGGAGAAGAGAAAGAGCAAGAAATTAGAAATCTATTTGAAAAAATAATGAAAGAAAAATTCCCTAATTTGGTGAAGGAAATAGACATGCAAGTCCAGGAAGCACAGAGGGCCCCAAACAGGATGGATGCAAAGAGGCCCACTCCAAGACCTCTCCATAATTAAAATGCCAAAGGTAAAAGAAAAAGAGAGAATCTTAAAAGCAGCAAGACAAAAGAAGTTCCCATAAGACTGTCACATGATTTCTCAAAAGAAACTTCACAGGCAAAAAGGGACTGGCAAGAAATATTCAAAGCCATGAAAAGCAGGGACATACAACCAAGATTGCTCTACCCAGAAAAGCTATCATTTAGAATCAAAGAGCAGATAAAGGGCTTCCCAGACAAGAAGAAACTAAAGGAGTTCATCATCATCAAACCATTATTATATGAAAATTTAAAGGAACTTATGTACAAAAAAGATCAAAACTATGAACAGTAAAATAGCAATAAATACGTATCTATCAACAACTGAATCTAAAAAACAAACTAAGCAAACAAAGAAAGGAGACAGAATCATGGATACAGAGAAGGTTTCCATTATTGACAGATGAGAGGTGGGTGTGGTGGAGAGAGTGAAGAGGTGAGAGAACTAAGAAGTACAAATAGGTAGTTACAGAGTAGCCATGGGGTATAAAGTACAGTACGGGAAATGGAGTAGCCTAAGATCTTACATGCATGACCCATGGACATGAACAATGGTGGGAGGATTGCCTGAGGGAATGGGGGGTACTGGGTGCAGAAGGGCAAATGCAGAAAAATCAGGACAACTATAATAGCATAATCAATAAAATATATTTTAAAAAATGGCTACATATTTTGATAAATATTAAAGAATTACTGCTAAATATTTTTAGATTTAATAAAAGCATTAGGGTTCAAAAATTCAAGTATCTAAATAAAATAATGTTTATTTAAAAGCCTAATATTCTATAACTAATACATATAAAATTAATGTAGTTTTTCTCTGGGCCTATTTTGAAATCTTTTATAAAGAAAAATGTTTTACCCCTGGCTGGCGTAGCTCAGTGGATTGAGCGCGGGCTGGGAACCAAAGTGTCCCAGGTTCGATTCCCAGCCAGGGTACATTCCTGGGTTTCAGGCCATAACCCCCAGCAACCGCACATTGATGTTTCTCTCTCTCTCTCTCTCTCTCCCCCTCCCTTCCCTCTCTAAAAATAAATAAATAAAATCTTAAAAAAAAACTCTTAGAATGAAGTACAATTTAAATGAAAGTATTTTTCTCATATACTCTCATAAAACATTTTTTTAAATATTTTATTTATTTATTTTTAGAGAGGGAAGGGAGGGGGAGGGGAGGGAGAGAGAGAGAGAGAGAGAGAGAGAGAAACATCAATGTGCGGTTGCTGGGGGTTATGGCCTGAAACCCAGGAATGTACCCTGGCTGGGAATCGAACCTGGGACACTTTGGTTCCCAGCCCGCGCTCAATCCACTGAGCTATGCCAGCCAGGGCCCATTCTAAGAGTTATTACACAGCTATGGTAATTAAAACTGTTTAGTATTGGGGAAAGGATATATAAATCAATGGAATAGAAATAGGAGTCCAGAGATGTGCCCACACAAATATACCCAACTGATTTTTCACAAAGTTACAAAATCAATTCAACTGAGAAAATATAGCCTTTTCAACAAAGAATGCTAAAACAATCTAAATCAACAAAATCACTACCGCTGCCACAACCACCAGGCAAAAAATTGCAGCCTGACCCAAGTTTTACCCCTTTAACAAGAGTCAGTTCAAAATGGGTCATGGAATTAAATGTGAAATGTAGATATTTTTTTAAAGAAAAAAGTCTTCAGGACATAGAGCTAGACAGAGTTGTTAGAACTGATACCAAAAGTACAATCCATAAAATCAAAAATGGATCACACTGAAAGTAAAAACATTTACTTCCGGCCAAGATGGAAGCATAGGTAGACACACTGTGCCTCCTTGCACAACCAAAAGGACAACAAATAAAAATAAGAAACAACCAGAACTGACAGATAATTGAACTTTATGGAAGTCTGACAACCAAGGAGTTAAAGAAGAAACATTCATCCAGACTGGTAGGAGGGGCAGAGATGGGCAGCTGGGGTGGAGAGGACTTGGGGCAAGGCAGCAGCAGGAGGACTGGGATGGGTGATACAACAGCACCTGGTGGACTAGGGGTCCCACATTTGTGTGCAGATAAACTGGGAGGAATAAATGGGGAGTGAGACAGCACAACCCAGGTTTCCAAAGCCTCAAAACCTCTGGCTATAAAAATATGTGGGGATTGTGGCAGCAGGAAAAACTCCCAGCCTCACAGGAGAGTTTGTAGGAAAGGTACACAAACCCACCCACCCAGAAATCAGCACCAGAAAGGCCCAATTTGTTTCTGGGTTGTTGGGGGAGTAACTCAAAGCTGGGGAAGAACCGAGCAAGCGACATTGTTCCCTGTGACCCCTCCCCCACATACAGTGCCACAAGCATGCCCTAGCAAATGCCTAAGGCTACACCCCTTATAATGTAACAGCTGCCCAAGACAAAGAAATGTGGCCCAAATGAAAGAACTGATCAAAACTGCAAAAACTGAACTATGAACAGTAAAATGACAAACTCACAACTATCAACAACTAAACCTAAAAGAAAACAAAAACAAAAACAAACTAAGCAAATAACTAGAACATGAACAGAATCACAAAAATGGAGATCACATGGAGGGTTATCAGCAGAGCGGGGAGAATGGGGGAAAAGGTACAGGGAATAAGACGCATAAATGGTAGGTTCAAAACAGACAGGGGGAGGTTAAGAATAACAGGAAATGCAGAAGCCAAAGAATTTATATGTAGGACCCAAGGACACACACTAAGGAGAAGGGAATGGTGGTAGGAGTAGGGGTGCAGGGTGGAGGGGAATAAAGGGGAGAAAAAAAATGGGACAACTGTAATAGCATAATCATTAAAATATACTTAAAAAATTTAAAAAAAATGAGATATCATAGCACACCTGTCAGAATGGCTATCATAAATAAATCAAAGAACAAGTGTTAGCGACGACGTAAAAAAAAGGGAATTCTTGTGCACTGTGGGTAGGAATGCAGATTTGTACAGCCTCTGTGGAAAAGAGTACGGAGTTACATCAAAAAATTAAAAATGTAACTTTCTTATCACCCAGAAATTACTCTGCTGGGAATATATTCAAAGAAACACAAAAATGCTAATTTGAAAGACTATATGCACCCCTATGTTCACTGCAGTGTTATTTATAATCGCCAATATCTGAAAGTAGCCCAAGTTTCCATCAGTCGATGATGGCATAAAAAAAGCTGTGATACATTTACAAATGGAATATTACTCAGTCATAAAAATGAAGGAAATATTACCCTTTGGACATCTGGATGGGCCTGGAGAGCATTATGCGAAGTGAAATAAGTCAGTCAGAGAAAGAGAAATACCATAAGATTTCACCCATGTGTGGAATCTAATGAACAAAAATCATAAAACTGTAGACTTATAATGGGTGAATGCTACAGTAATTATACCCTAATATATGGTAATTATACCCTTAAGCTATAAATAAATAAATAAATAAATAAATAAATTTTGTGAATGTAAATATTTTCAAATTTTGCTGATTTAATAGAGCTGGTAAAGTCAACACATTAGCATTAGAAAAAGTTATTTTAACACACAGGGTATTTAGTTTAAATCATCAGATGAGAAGTCTCACCACAGGCAATTTAACAAATCGTTTAACAATTATATACTGCAGTTCCTTACTTTCACAATTGTCAAAAAGATTGTATTATTCCATAAAAATTCACAATTACCTTAATCAGGGCTTTTTTGGTTAGTTTTTGGTTAACTTCAGGCTTATTCAGTATGTTCTTTGCTCTGTGAGCATATTCCAATGTACTCAGAGTTTCCTGTGATGAAAAGGCAATTTACTAAAGATAATATGAGATTGTAGTTCTATTACACAAAATGTACTATGTAGTAACTCGTAACTAATAATTTATGGTTATAGCTAATCTGAAAATCTACTGAGACTACTATACCCAACCTTTAAAAAAGAGATTGGCCAAAATATCCTTATCTTTTTTCTTTCTCTTCTATTTTAGGGCCTTTAACTTTTTAATAACTTGATGAAGTAATTTTTTACTTTAGTCTTCAAAACTCAGTAAATTCAATCAACTGATGAATAAACAAAATGTTCTATATCCAATCAATGGAATACGAGGTCTGTCCAGAAGGTATCCAACCATGTAATAAGAAAAGTAGACACGTTTATTGAAGAAAATACAAGAAAATTGTACACAGGACAATGATGCCTCAGTCCCCTTCTAAGTAGGCACCTTGGGACCTCACACAGTTCTCCCAATTGCCATCAGCTGCCCTGTTGTAAATTTTCCTGAATCTCACTGACGGTCTGAAATCTCTTCCCTTTCAAAGGTGATTTTAGTTTTGGGAAAAGCCAGAAGTCCCAGGGCACCAAATCTGAGCTGTAGCGGGGCTGAGTCACCTGGGTGATCTGATGTTTCCCCAAAAAACTCTGCATGAAACATGATTCATGAGCAGGCAAGTTGTGGTAATGAAATGAAGGTGCCAATCACCAATTGCCCATAGCTTCTGAATCATCTGAATAGATTCTGTGGAGAAATGTTCAAGCTTAACACAAAATCTGATGCAGCTTCATTGCTCTACTCGTTTAGTCATTTTGAATGCTATGGCCACCCACCATACATGCTCACTCAACAGCATCTACTGCCCCCACTGACCAGTACAGTGAAGTTGTCATAGTTCACGCACATGCATTCCAGTCCATTCTCCTTGGCTGCCAGGTTACATGGACGTCGTGAAAACCATTCTCATTATATTAACAATGGCTGGACTTTTCCCAGACAGACCCCATATTTACTCATCCACAAAAAGGAATGAAATACTGATACATGGTACAACATGGATGAACAATGAAAACATTATGCTAAATGAATGAAACCAGCCACAAAAGAACACTTATTGTATGATTCCATCTACATGAAATGCCCAGAATAGGCCAATCTACAGATTAAAAGGAGTAGATTAGCAGTTACCGAGGGCTGGGATTGGGGACACATGTGGAGTGACTGCTTATGGGTTACAGGGTTTCTTTCTGAAGTAATGAAAATATTCTAAACTTAAATTTTGGTGATGATTGCACAGCTCTGTGAATATAGTAAAATCACTGAATTATATACATTTAACAGGTGAATTTTATGGTATATAAATTATCTTAATAAAAATATTTTTTAAAAGGACAGGAGAGTTAGAGACCTTACAAAGCTTTTCTAATTCCATTTAAAGTACATGATTACAATAAAATAAGAGTAGATTTTGCCATCTTTGTTTCTTCTTTTAGTTTTCGCACCTGTTCCCACAAACCCAACCCCATCCTCACTGCTCTCTAAGCAGTCTCTATAATACTAACATTCACGTAACCCACTTCTAAGTCCTCAATTAAATCTCCATACCCCATATAACCATATACTGCTGATGACCACAGCAATTTTCTTTGATGACTGTGTAGGGAAAGCCAGTAAGTAACTGGCTTTGTAAAATTAAAAACTCTGTCAGGAAAGGAGAAAGAAATTTTTTTCAGTGTCCATATGCAACGTCCAGATTCTTTTTGTCATAATATAGAATTAACAAAGCCAGTTAACAAACTTTGAAAGACAATGTGATAGCTAAATAAGAATTTCAGCTACCATACTTGCAGAAACCTTTCAAAAAGAGCTTACCTCAAGATTGAGCGATGCAGGAGAAATTGTTGCAATTATAGATGTTCTTGTACGTCCCCCAAGAGAATCCTGGAGGATTCTAGTTAGTTTAGATTCTCGGTAGGGAACGTGAGGTGTTCTTTCTACAAGTGCAGTAATAACCCTTCCCAAAGTCAACAGGGATTGATTGATATTTCCAGCTTCCCGAGCTCTCTTGTCAACTGCTCCAGAACGGCCAATATTTTCACTTCCTGCAAGATCAACCTTGAATTTAGAAAAAAAAAAAAAGGTTGTCAGGCTATTGGATTTGGACTTGAAGACTTTCATTCCCGTATTATACATAATGTATTAAATAGCCAGCAAAATAATTTTTCTATGATTAGCAACTCACTACAAAGCTAATAACCCAGTAACTACAAAAATGTTTTCTAGAAATACAAAATTTCAGGCTGCTCTATGAGGGGATCAAGAAGGAAACAGTAGAATAGAACTACCAACCCCACTTTTGGGTATATATCCTAAGGGAATGAAATCAGTTTCTCACAGAGATATGTGTACTTCCATGTCTATGGCATTATTCAAAATAGCCAAGACATGGAAACGTGTCTGTCAATGGATGAACAGATAAAAATGTGCTACATACAATACACACAATGAAATATTATTCAACCATGAGAAAGGAAATTCTACCACTTACAACAACATAAATGAACCTAGAGGACATTATGCTAAGTGAAATAAGCCAGACAAGACAAAAATACAAATACTGTATGATCTCACTTACATGTGGAATTAGCGGGGGAGGCAGGGAGAAAGGAGAGATGAATTTGGTTATCAGGAGCAGAGAGGTTGGGGAGATAGGTAGACACTGGTCAAAGGGTACAAGCCTTCGGTGATAAGATGAGTAAGTTTGGGGATCTGAAACACACTAGTACAGTTAATAATACTATACTGAAATTTGCTAGGAGAGCAGATTTCATAAGTGTTCTCACAAAAAAAAAAGTAACTATGTGAGGTAATGGATATGTTAATGTGATTGTATTAATCATTTTACAAAGTATACTATATCAAATTATCATATTGTATACTTTAAATATGTAATTTTACTTGTCAATTATACCTCAATAAAGCTGGAGTAAAAAACAAAAAGAATGAAACAGTGGTATTAAGATAGGTGCTTACCAAGTTCAACTTTCCAATTTTAACAAGCTCCTCCCCATCAATTGTAGTTTCTTTCATATGTATTGTAACGGAGAAAACGGAGTGGGAACGACTAGAAAACAAGATCAAGTTGCGCAGTCATTATAACACAAAATACTATTTGCTTTCTGTAAAAAAGTGAAAACAGCCAGGAAAGATCTTAATCCACAAAAGTAAAGAAAAGATAGTATCTGACTGGAGATACCAATAAGATTTTGGAAGACAGAAGGTAGATAAAACAACGACTAGGTTTTTGCTTTCTTGTACCTACTGCCTATCAGAGAATACAACAAGGAGCTATTTAAAACACTCTAAAAGATTTAGGAACCAGAATCCTCAGGCACCTCTGAAAGCTGAATGTGGATAAGATTGGAACAGCTGCCTGGTGTGTCTGAGGAGAAGGCTTGTGATCAATCTTCCTATTCATAAGAACTATCTGAAATATGTCATTACCATAAATTCAAATAGCACCAGGCAAGCCATATCTGATTACTCCCTGCCAGTGTCAACTGCTGTAAAAGTACATCACTTTGCTTGGAGAATGTCATAAGAAACAGGTAAAATTCCCTTCCCTGAACAGCAGAAATAGTACATAACAATGATTACCAAAATACCATTAGATAATCACTGTTAGATTATAAAGTATTCCAAAGTATATCTTACATTGCATACTGACATTTGGCTTTATCTGAAGGATACAAAAATTAGTCACACACAACTGAACAGAAATATGTTGAGAAATGTGTTGTTGGGCTACATTTATGCAAACCTCATAGACTGTACTTACTCAAACTAAATGGTATATAGTATAGAACCATAATTCTATGTGCTTTACTTTTATTTGACTAAAAGCACAGTAGGTTTGTTTACATCAGCATTGCTGGAAACACATTAGTAATGCTTTAACTCTACAATGTTGACAACAGTGATATCACCTAGTGATGTCATAATCACTAGGTGATAGGAACATTTCAGGTACACTACAATCATAGGAGACCACTGTCATATATACCATCCATCATAACCAAACACTGTTATGTGGCTCACGACTGTAGAGACATCCGAAGACATCTTTCCTTTCTGTATCTTCTGGGGACCAGTTTGTTAATGTCATTAATAGTAGGGAATATGGTAATCTTCTTTTTTGTACTTTTCATGTTACTTGAAAAATGTTATAATAAATACCATTTTTACAAAATTTAAATTATTTAAAATTACTGAAAAAAGGACATGTACAGGAAAAATATAAACTATACATCTAAACCATAATATACATTTCATGTTTTTCTACCAACATTTATCCATTTCTAATCTCAGACTGCAATTAATTGAAATTAAGCATAGATGTCAACTCTGATTTTGGAAAATTTAATTATGTCTTCCTTCTCTTTATCACTTACAATCATAAAAAGTGATATTTCCCTGGCCAGGGTGGCTCAATTGGCTAGAGCATCATGCCAATATGCCAAGGTTGTGGATTTGATCCCTGGTCAGGGCACATATTAGAAGCTACCGATGAATGCATATATAAGCGGAACAACAATCTGATGTTTCTCTCTCCCTCTCTAAAATAAGTAAATAAAAGGGTTCTTTTAAAAAAGAGCTATTTATTCCAGTCTACATGTATATAAAAAAAGGAGACCCAAATTATACAAATTTATAAAATAGGAATTTTATATTTCAGAGTTTCTAGAGAAAAGAAATTTTACCCAGTCTTAAATTCATTCCTCCATTTCATTCTGTATAAAAGTTACAAATCAATCACAGAATTGAATTTTCAATGAAAATTTGCATTTATAATGTAAGTTTCAAAAATGGAAAACTATTATAGGAAAAGTTAAATAAAATTATAAAATCACCCATAATTCCATGATTTTAATTACTTCCATGTTGTTTTTGTTCTTTCTTTAAATATATATATATATTTGTATAAAGTTGCAGTTATAATTGTTATAGAATACTGTACAAATTTTCAATAATAATGGAGCAAGGAAATAAGAGATCTAGTCCTAACAATATTTTGTAGCTCAGGAAACTGATAAACAGATGTTCACTTACTCACCTGAAGTTGTATTTAGTTAACTGTGGAACTGGAACTAAACACAAATACCTAATTTCCAACCCAAAGCTCTATCAATTATACTCTGATGTTTCCTTCAAAGACCAAGAGGGAGAAAGTTACTTCTAACTTGGTAAACTGCATTTTTAGAGTCTGGGATTCAACCTATAGACGGTGCTATCAAGTATGCCCCCTTCCCCCTTGGAAGTCAGTGTTAGTGATTATCTATCCTCCTACATTAAAATGAAGCTATTTGAGAAAACAAATGTTGTACAAATTAAATATAAACAGTTTTGTTAATCATACCAAAATAAAGTTAAAGAAATAAAAAAAAGTCATTTGACTTTCTTCTAATCCTTACTTAAACCGAGGATTTTCAAATTGCTTTTTAAGTGCATACAGAGACTTCAGAAAAATGCTCAGAATAAACCTTCTTAAGGTTGAGAAGATAAGCCTCAGAGAATTCCATCCCCAAATCAACCACAACAGCTATATTTTAATCTGGGATCCCATGTACAATTTCATTTGAGGGGGAAAAAGTCTAACTTAAAAGAAGTTTGATACTTCTGCTTAATAGTTCAACTTATCTTGGTTCTCCCTTCAGCATTCTTCCAATATTGGTGCTTCCCTATAAACCTCAAACCAATTACTACATGCAACCTAGCATAACACCTAGGTATGTGACTCATATATTTTGACCCACCCCAATTTGATTTCCCCCAAGTTTGTAATTATTCTTAAAAAGAAAATGGAACATGCGGGGACAGTGGCTTTCTTACCTAGAGTATGCATTCATTAATGTTGCTGCAGTTGTCCTTTTTGCCGCTCCCTTCTCCAAAATTTGATAAACTTCATCCTTGTTGTGTACTGTAATTTCTTCTAAACCTTTGATTATCACTCCCCTCTGACCAAATATCAAAAAAAGCACCCATTAGATTGGTACACACACACACACACACACACACACACACACACACACTCTTCTCAAAGCAACACACATTAAAATTTGCAGATATTCCATTCCCAAAGACTGAAGTTACCTTGTTACGAGGATCATCAAACATCTGTAGTCTCTCAGAAACATCAGAGGATGGATTAAGGAGGTCAAAAAGTTCTTCATTATAGATTTCCAACAAAGACACTTTGACGGAAAATTCAGTACCATTATCAGTAAGTTTCTCAAAAATCTGATGAAGAGTACGTGGAATTATACCAGCCAAAGGATCCTGAAATTGTAATATTAATGAGAGCTAAAATAAAGGCAGAACAGCATTTACTGCGGCAATTAAAACACATATAACAAGGGCCTGCTTTATAGTATATTTAAGTGTAATTACATTAAAACGAGTTTAAAAAAATAAGCTAATGTTAGAGAGGCAAAGTCATTTGCAAGTCTATTAAACAGCAATTATTCTCTATACCTTCCACTAATCTTTTATGCCTGCCAGACACTTTGTGACTGAGCATTAAACAAAAACCAGCTGAATCAAGCTACCTATAAAGCCAAGTTCAATAATTCTTTCCAACTGTTCTTATGAGTACATAGTATCACCATTTTAATCAGGAATATGGCCCATTAAAAGTGTATTCCCTAACCTGCCCTGGCTGGTGTGGCTCAGTGGATTGAGGGCTGGCCTGTGAACCAAAGGTCACCAGTGCAATTCCTAGTCAGGGCACATGCCTGGATGATAGGCCAGATCCCCGTTGGGGGCATGTGAGAAGCAACCACACACTGATGTTCCTCTCCCTCTCTTTCTCCCTCCCTTGCCCTCTTTCTAAAAATAAATAAATAAAACCTTTTTAAAAAGTATATTCCCTAATCTAACATGAAATAGGATTAATTCTCAAATATGTAAGTATCCTTAATAAAATTATTGTAAATCCCTAAATTTTGAAACTGTGCATTAAGCCTATTCTATAATCTCCTACAGTTACAATTCCATAACTTTATTATCCATGAATAAAGTTGATGCCTCAACTATGTAACTTTTAGGAAAAAAGGATCTACCTAAATGTTAATAACACCTAAATGTTAATAATGACTAATTGACTTAGTCACTAAATTCAGTGAAACACTTGGTGAAAACTTTTGTGAAATGTACTATTTGTTCCCTACTATGTTCAACAATGCAGTGGCCTTAATTTCTTGCAGGCTCATGGTAATCATACCAACCATGATACTGCCCCTTGCTACGTTAACTTTGAGATTCATTCCCTCCTTGCAAAGTCTTCCCCTCTAAACCCCACTCACATTCCACAATATTCTTCTCCACCTATTCTGTCCCAGACAGACCCCTCTCTTATCACTTAACTGTACCATATGGACTGGCCCAGTCTCTCCCAATGGGACTATATATTTCTTAAACAGAAGCCATACCATATATACTAATTTTACTATAGTAGTAGTTCATCATAAATTCCTGCTGTTATTAACATGGGTACTCTTCTCTATTTCAAGACAAAGTCCTTCAGCCAAGTTTTATTCAGTTAAATTTCAGCCACTTCAGATACAAAAGTCTGTTATAATCAACAAATACCTCCTCCCAAGTATATTCTTCATTAGGTGACCTTTCACCTTCCATTGTAAAGGTTTTTCCAGTGCCAGTTTGGCCGTATCTGTCAGGATTAACAAAAATGTTGAATAAGAAATGAACACATACATTATTAAAACTTTTCATCAATTTGAAAAAAATCCACTCACGCAAAAATAGTGCAGTTATAGCCCATAATAACTTCATCCAGAATTGGACAAACAACACTTCGATAGACATCTATTTGTTTAGTAGATGCTCCAAAAACCTATGAAAAAAAAAAAAATCAAAGCATTTTTTCAAGAAAAACATTTTAAAAATTACCCACTTTAATAATTTTATTTTTAATATATTAACTCATTCAGCCCTGACTGGTTGGCTTGGTTGGTTGGGTGTCATCCCACAAAGTGCAAAGTCTCTAGTTCGATTCCCCAGTCAGGGCACATGCCTGGGTTGCAGGTTAGGTCCCCAGTGGGGGCACAAACAAGAAGCAACCAACTGATGTTTCTCTCTCACACAGATGTTTCGCTCCCTCTTTCTCCCTCCCTTCCCCTCTCTCTAAAAATAAATAAAAATTTTTTTTAAATAACTCATTCAGCCCTCTAGAAACCATTGACAATTCAGAGTCAACTGAAATTTGTCACTGTACACTAGAACCTAGAGCAAGTATGTATACTAGGATACCTTTGCATTAGTGAGTAACAGAGAAGTAGCAGCATTTTAAGAAGTAAGTACCATATCAAAAGTATATGTTTTCCTTGAGCTCTTGTCAGCCAGTCCTCCAGTTCGTACACTAACTTCTTTTCGTACATGATCACATTCTACTACAGAGTGGGCGCATGCTTTCCGCTCTGCCAAATTAAATGGTCTATAAAAAGAAATACATGATGTTATTCAAGAACACATACTTATGACATTACTGATGACATTATCTGAGACAAAAATAATGCGACATTTTGCCTGCACTATTAAAGATAGGGACTAAATGATACTGCTTTTTAAGTGTTTCAATGCCCAGAAATATTACTAGTTTTTTGAATTTTCAAGGATATGTAAAACATTACAATTCTGACAATTTCTTGGAGTAGATGCTAACAGAATTAACTTGCAAAAGATGCCAAACTTATTTTTCAGAATTCTATTTCCATGTTCTTGGAATCTTACCATGTTAGTGTATGATGTAGGAGAAAGAATATGCCAAATTTGTGCTCAAAATATGAACCTGCCAGTGGATAAGTGGAACAGAATAAAAAGATACAAATAATGACAAATACGTAGAATACTTACTATGTCCCAGGTACTCACTATTCTAAGTGCTTTATATGTGTTAACTCAGTTTGTCCTCACAGCACTGTGAGGTCTAGTAGCAAACAGTGACAAAACAGGATTATACAAGAGGTGATGTTTAGAAAGAGTATGCAAAGGATACTGTTAGGAACATACAGTAAAGATTTAATGTGGTCCTGATTGGAACAGTCTGGTGGAGGAGGCATGAGTAATGTCAAAGAATTCCTGAGGAACTAATCCTGTAAGCTAAATTCCTCCGTAGGCATTTCATTTCAGTACAGGGAGGACTCTCATGCAGTGTGAGTGCTAATGTGGCACTTTGTGACTGTGTCCTCATTTTAAAATGGTGCTAGTAATGTTGCCAGTCATTATAGTACCAACCAACCAGCAATGTAGGGAAAGAAATCCTGTTTAGCTTACTGTTTTCCCAGTGCCTGCTACTATGCTTAGCGTCTAGTAGGCACTCAAATATCTGTCAAACTACACAGTTTAACAAATGTCACCATAAGGGGAATGATGGGAAAGCTTTAAAAACAAAAAACAAAAAACCATGGTCCACAGAGTAGCATCCATAGGTTTATTTATATACAGTACTTAACATACATCTGAGCCAAAAGGAGAGATATACTCCTGACCGGAGTTCATTTTTCCCAAAGAATACCAAGTATTAAGGAAGGATGTGCCAAATAGAAAATTATCTCTCTCCTCATCACTAGACAAGCTGAGTTGCTATTTACTTTAAGAAGAACACCTCAACTTACTCTGACATGCCCCACTCCCCAGCACATTTTTGACTGGTCAGAAGATCAAATTTGTGGTCCAAGGAAATATAACTCAGCAACTCTCAGGTAATATCTGGTAATGCTGTCACCTGCCAAATGTACTGAAATGTAAACAATGCACATAATTGACAGCATACATTATTAGAAGTTCAACAAAACTAAGTAAAAACCAACTTATACTAAGGAAGGCCAAGAATATAAAGTAGAGTGCCCTGGCTGGTGTGTCTCAGTGAATTGCATGCCAGCCTACAAAGCAAGGGGTCAATGGCTCGATTTCCCATCAGGGCACAAGCCTGGGTTGGAAGCCAGGTCCTCCCATTTGGCGGTGTGCGAGAGGCAAACACACACTGATGTTTCTCTCCCTCTCTGTCCTTCCCTTCCCCACTGTCTAAAAATAAATACACAAATAAATCTTTAAAAGAAAATTGCAAGGTTTCTATTGATGACACTAACAAACCCATCCATTTCTTGGTTTCACTCGAGTTATATTCAAATTCAAACAACCAAAATGGTGAGAGACAGAAGATTGCAGATTGTTTCAAAAAGTCCTTAAGCCCTGGCCAAATAGCTCAATTGGTTAGAACACTGTCCTGATAGCCAAGGTTGTGAGTTGGATCTCAGGTCAAGGCACATATATGAAGTAACCAATAAATGCGCATGTAAGTGGAACAACAAACCAACGTCTCTCTCACATAAACAAATTTTAAAAATTTAAAAAGTCCTTAGGTCAGACAAAGACAAATACCATGATTTTACCTACATGTGGAATCTAAAAAACAAAATAAACAAACAAACAGAACAGATTCAACTAACTCACAGAGAACAAACTGATGGTTGCCAGAGGGGAGGGAGATTGGGGCACTGTGTGAAAACGGTGAAGGGATTAATAAGTACAAACTGGCTGTTGTAAAATAGTCATGGAGATGTAGAGATCAGCATAATAAATATATGTCAATAATATTATAATAACTATGTATGGGTACTAGACTTATGGGGGGGGGGGATGCTTCATAAGTTATATAAAAGTCTTACCACTATGCTGTACACCTAAAACTAGTATAATACTAAATGTCAACTGTAACTGAAAATTTTTTTGAAAAGAGGGGGAAGAAAGTCCTGTCCTATGCTAAAATTATTCATTCATCCCATAAACATTCATCAAACACATATAATGTGACAGACACTTTTCTAGGCACTTGGGATACAGCAGGGATCATAACCAAGTATCAGGAAAAAAATCCAAAACATCCAAGTTCTCACTCTCAGGAAGTTTTTATCCTAATGTGTGTGTAGGGGTATCAGGAAGAGATGACAATCAAACAAACAAGTAAATATATTTGGTGCTGATAAATTCGAAATGAAAATAGCAGACCAGGGGATAGGAAGTGATGAATGGGGAAGATGGGTGGTTGCTATTGTTATCTTAGAGTGACCAGGGAAGGTTTCTCTGATAAAGGTGATATTTAAGCAAAATAAGAGAGCCAGCCATGTAACTAACTATTCCAGTAGAAAAAGCTTTCCAGGCAGAGAAATTGCAAAGGCCCCAAAGTAGAGTATGGTACATGTGTTTTGTTTAGTTTTTTAATCCTCACCCGAGGATATATTTACTGATTTCAAATAAAGAAGAAGGGGATGGTGAGAGAAAATAGAAATGAGAGAGAAACAGCGATCAGTTGCCTCTTTTATGCCCTTCGATGGCGATCAAACCAGAAACCTAGGTATGTGCTCTGACCTCGGATCAAACTGGAGACCTTTTGGTGTACGGACCACACTCCAACCAAGGGAGTCAACCCACTTGGGTGGTAGATGTGTTTTTAAAATGTGTGTGTGTGAAGGGGGAGGACAGGGCAGGGGAGTTAGGCAGGAAATCAGAAAGATAGCTAGTAGCTATATCATGTAGGGGTTTATAATATCTTTCAACCTGTGGGACAAATCTAGCCTTTATCTTGTCAAAGAATAATTTGGCAATTTTAAAGGTTATTTAAAATATATATATAGCTATATTTTATATATCTATATATATCAGCCCTGACTGGTGTGGCTCAGTGGGTTGGGTGTCATCCTGCATTCCTGGATTCCAGGTCAGGGACATCCAGGGTTGGGAGCATGAGAGGTAACTGACTGATGCTTCTCTCGCACATCAGTAGATAAATAAAATCTAAAAAAAAAAATTCAGATACTGGGTGTCTGAAGGTGGTAGAAGCAGTACACTGGCAGATTCATTCCACCACTTAAAACCTCAAACATTGGGTCACACAATGTCTTACTGATTTCAAGTAAAAGATGTCTAGCAAATCAGCAAGCACACACAACATAGCCCAGGGAAGAACTGGGAAGCAGTTTTGATTAGAAGCCTCCAGTGAAAGAATCAAGGTTTCAACAGCACCATGGACCTCATGTCCTACTATGAGGAATATGCCAGGAATAATGCTTTGCTGATAAGATACCAACTTCAGAAAACCTTTCAAGGTTAATAAAAAACACTTGGATCAGTTCTGGACGTTGTGGCTTAGTTGGTTAAATCAGTAAACAATAGGTTGTAGTTTGATTTCCAGTCAGGGCACATGCCTAGGTTGTGGGTTCCATCCCTGGTCCGGGTACATAGGTGAGGAAACCCATCAATACCTCTCTTTCCCTCTCTATAATAGCAATGAAAACAAAATGTCCTCAAGTGAGAATTATTAAAAACAACAACAAAAAAACTTGCATCATAGTATAGTGAAATAGTGAAATAGTCTCTTTTCAATAGTCTCTTTTCAAGTAAATTATAAGCAGCTCCTCAAAGAGATTTACCTTCAGCTTATTTGTAACCACTACTAATAACTAAAATGTTCTTAACTTGGAAAAATGACTCTGAAGTCTTTATTTTCCAAGTTGTCCTTTCTCTATAATATCCTCTGCTGATTTAATACAGATTCACATTTTGTTTTCTATTTGGTAACTGGCATCATATGGGGTTACTGTTTAACGGAGGTTGATCTAGGTCATTAAAAAAATAATTATATACTTTAAAATATGAGTAATTCAGATATGTTAATACCTACATTGCCTAAGCACCTGTTTAAATTAAAATGTCAAAAAAAATAACAAATCCTAAAACCTCTGTATTATGTTCTTCATAGGGTTTGTGCCAACCTGTAGCAGGGGTGTCCAACCTGCAGCCCATGGGTCATGCGTGGCTCAGGATGCTCATGAATGCAGCCCAACACAAAACCGCAAATTTACTTAACACGTTATGAGATTTTTTTTTGTGATTACATGTCGCAATTATTTTATGTGTGGCCCAAGACAACTCTTCTTCCAGTGTGGCCCAGAGGTGCCAGAAGGTCGGACACCCCAGCTGTAGAGTATACAAAAGGGAGGGGTGTTTTGTGTATATGTGTATCTTTGTATCAAAGCAATATCCTGATTAAAACATTTCAGTTTCTCAGTTCTAGTTATACCTTTATCTTGAGCTATGTACTAGTAGAATAAAAACTTCTCTTCAAATGTTACTGTACAAGAAAAGAACATCCTAAAGATTGTATTCACTGTAATGAAGTAATGAAGTCGGGCTATAATAAACTGTGAGAATTAAAAATTGAAAGCTGGAAAAAAAAATTAGCCCTGGCCAAGTTGGTTAGAGTGCTGTCCCCATATGCTAAGGTTGTGGGTTGGATCCCCGGTGAAGACACATAAAAGAATCAACCAATGAATAATAAACAACAAATCAATGTTTCTCTCTCTCTCCCTCCATCCTTCCCTTCTTTCTTCTCTCTTTCTAAAATCAATTTTTAAAAAAATTTTAACTGAAAAAGAAAAAGAGTAGGTGACAGAGACTATGTGGTCTGAAAAGCCTAAAATATTTACTATCTAGGCCCTTCACAGCAAAGATCTGATCACCCTGAGAACCTCTTAAATTGTTTATTTACTAATGATAGAACATGTTTGCATTACAAAGACTATTTGAAAACAAAACCACACAAACAAAAAAGCCTGGCTAATATGAAAAAACTTCTCTTTATACCACACAACCTAAGCACTTTTCAGTAGTGATAAAATAAAAGCCCTGGTTGTATGGCTCAGTGAATTGAGTGCCTGCCTGTAAACCAAAAGCTCGCCAGTTCAATTCCCAGTCAGGGAACATGCCTGGGTTGCTGGCCAGGTCCCCAGTGGGGACATGACTGGGACAAGCGCTGTTTCTCTCCCTTTCTTCCTCCTTTCTCCTCTCTAAAAATAAATAAATAAAATTTTTTTAAGTAAAAAATTCCTTCTAAGCTTAAGCGTGAAATTTATGGAGATAATAAACATGAAGTTCAGGGTAATATTTAACTGCTGGGGTTGGGGAGAAGGTTGGGAATTAGGGAGGAAACACTGGGGCTCCAGGTATAATGACTGTTCTGTTTCTAATCTGGGTGATGCATGTACAGATGTCTGTTACATGGTTCTTTATAACTTTTTATGGGCCTGACATATTTTGTCAAAAAAAAAAAAAAAGAAAGAAAGAAAATAAAACCACACAAGAATGTAATACTGCCTAGGTTTATTAACTGATCAAAATAATCTAAGAATTTGCATTTGTAAAACTTGATTTTTTTAAAAGATTTTATTTATTTATTTTTAGAGAGGGAAGGGGGAGAGAGAGAGAGAGAAACATCAATGTGCGGTTGCTGGAAGTCATGGCTAACCTGGCTGGGAATCAAACCTGTGACACTTTGGTTCGCAGCCCACGCTCAATCCACTGAGCTATGCCAGCCAGGCCTAAACTGTTGATTTTTTTAAAACCTTCAAATAAGCAATTATTAACAGAAGCCCTAGAATGCAACTGGTAATTAGCTAGATATAAGGTTACCCGTCTAATTTCCTCTCTGGCACCTAGTTTAAAAAGCTAGCTATTACCTTTGATATGTACGGTTAAGTCACCAAAACTGATTAAACAATAACCTAGGAAAGTTCATTGGCACATTTTTAAAATGATATTTTAATTTTAGAATATTTTTGGATTTACAGAAAATTTGCTGATAGTTGGTAGTTTTTAAAACAACAGCAACAAAGAGACACACAAAACACACATTCACCAGAAAACTGTGGAGGGCCTCTAAAAAGCTAAATAAATCAATCTCTAATTAAGCAACAGTTTGAACAACAAGTATGTTCTTCCTGTACCAGCTAGTTTTAAAACTGAGAAGTTATTTGGAAATCCATCAGGGGAGAATTGAACACCTGCACCCACCGGGAAAAAGCTGTCTCCTCTGGCATAGGGGAGACTAAGTTGTAGCACAACCAGATGTCTATATTGGCTTAGGTGGTCTCTCTGATCTTTTAAAGTCACTGTATTATAACTTAATTTTTAAACCTTACATACATTGATGTTTACTTCTAGTAGGAATTAAGAAAACATTGCATCTAGAATAAACAGATGATTGATTACGTTTGTAGGGGTGGAGAGGATGGCAATCACAATGTAAGTGCCAAACCATCTGAAAAGTGGGTACGCAGTCTTATTTTCCAAACTAGCAAACTGCAAGGAGTGGCATATAAAAGCAACACCTAAATCATTGTTGAATTACTTTCAAAACAGGATGCACTTTTCACTAAAGAACAGTGATCACATTCTCCATCTGAATATAGCAGTTTAAACTAAAGCCTCTGACACAAATCTCTGAGGGCACCAAAGTTTTGCAACCCTAAAATACATCTTTTGGGATTTTGATTTTAGGCTAGTTGTTAAGAAACAAATGACACAGAAACTTTGACCCTCCTCCTTACCTGCTCAAACGAATTCAGATACAAAAATATGCTTAAACGAAGGGAGCATCACCTTAGCACTATAATATACAACTATTATAAATGTGGCAGAGAGAAACCCAGCAAAGCCTGTTTTTGAACTTCCTTTTGTGTACCATTGTTTGTGGGTGGTTTAGCAAGAATTTGCTTTTTCCCGAACCTGTAAATTTCCTACTTTCTTTGAAACCCCAGACCCCTGCCCCACTTCTCCTTTGTCCAAAACGACATATCAAACCGTAAATGCCCAATGCGTATTGAGGTCTCATGTTCTTATGGCACCTCTGAATGTACATCCATAATAAATTGTGGACATTCTCTCTTGCTAATCTGCCTCACATTAATTTATTAGCCCAGTTAAAAGAATTTAGAAGGTGGAAGAAAAAATTATTTTTTGCGCCCCAACATATCCCTTTTCATGAAAAAAACAAAACAAAACACTAATTTACTCCTCACAGGAACATGGGGTAATTTCATCCAATAGACTGCGGGGGACTATGAAACAGAAAGATTTGGTCCCCTTAGAAATTAAAATTCCTCTCCGACCACAAAAGAGTGAGCACAGCAGTAAAGAAAGGCACTTCGAATCCCACCATCCTCGCCCTACCTGCATCTCACCACCACCTGGATGTTCTTCCCCTTCTCCTCTTTCTTCTTCGAGGAGGAATTAGGCTGGGACGCCATGACGGAACCCTCCGACAAAACAAAGCCTGGGACGACCTCCTCCCCTGCCGGGTACCGGCTTGGAGAGGGACACCAACGCAAGCAGCTCGGAGTCCCCGCTCTCCACTAGGGAGGGGCTCTGACTGGACGCGTCTTCCGTCCCGCACCAGCGGAGCCGTCAAATCACCAACCTCGCCTCCACCGGACGCCCAGAAACGGAACAACGTCTCGGCGCCTCAATTTGAAAAAGGAGCCCTGTAGCCTGGCCAATTGCAGCGCGGGCACGCAAGGCACGATGGGACGCGGAGTATTTCCAGAGCCCCGCCCTTGGGGCGTAGCCTGCGGGAAAGTAAAAAGCTGATAGTAGGTGCTCCGCTAGAACTTGTAGTCCATTGGGAGACACGCAGGCGTGAACAGTGAAACAGTGTCGTACTTCAACGCGGTATTTCTTAAATTACATAACGTCCCTAAACTAAAATGTCCTCACAATGAAAGTAATAGCAACCATTTCAGAGGGCTTTTGTGAGAATGAGCTAGTGCGGGTAAAATAGGTTAGAACATACAGTTAAGCGCTCAGGAAGACTGGCCATGATTATAATTACTATTGAAGAATTGTAAGAGGAAGCACAGAGGAGAGAGATCCGAAGCGAGTCCCTATCTCGGAGGAAGCTTCCCGTCTAGTCTGGAAAAATAATTAGGAAATGTTAAAAGGTAAGGCTACAACGGGTACCAACTCGTGATGAAAGGGACACTGCATGTCATTTTTAGGACTCTGAATCTATCCTTTAACTGTAGTCGCCATTGCCAAAGAATTCCAAGCATGAAGTGAAGATTAGACTTGCCCATTGGGACGATATTTTTGCAGTAACTGATGCAGAATCAGGGGGTGCTTCCCTTCAAGTATCTGCCGCAACGTCCAGTGGGCGTCTAGAGGAAGTTGCGAAAACGTCCTCCAGGGTCAGCCTACAAATCCCAGCAGGCAGCACTCTCTGGGTCCCGCCCACGCTCAGTGACTCCGACTTTCCGTAGGCGTATTAGGGGCTTGTTGGCAATGCTTGGATTCCTTCCACGTTTTTTGCTGTGTGTCCCAGCCCGGGAAATACTGAATTATGGGCCTTTGCCATAGTCAGCTCGGGAAGCTGCGCTTTTGGGCTACCTTTACCCCACAGCCGTCTAGGCGTCATTTTAGCTTCCTAATGACCAGATGCAGTGGAAAGCTCCTTATTCCCCCAAGAAAGCATCTACGTCTAAAACCTCCATCGCTGGTCAATGGAGATTCTGCAAAGTCAGATACCTACTGACATCTCTTAGAAGGCTCACTGGCATCTCAAAAATGGAACTATCCGAAGCGAAATTCTTTATCCCCCTTACCTCTATCCTCATCTTTCTCATCCAGACAAATGGCGCTAACTAGACTTGTTTTCCTCGTCCAGTGTAATCCTGTTGGTTTTATCACATCTGCTGACCAAAGCGAAATTCTTTATCCCCCTTACCTCTATCCTCATCTTTCTCATCCAGACAAATGGCGCTAACTAGACTATTGTTTTCCTCGTCCAGTGTAATCCTGTTGGTTTTATCACATCTGCTGACCACTCTAGTTCAAGTCTTCTTTCTCTCTTCCCTAAACAACTGTTCTTAACTTCCTTAATATTGTAGTCTCCCTGCTTCCTCTTTTCTTCTCTCCCCACTGCATTCACTCAGCAAATGGAAGGATCTTTTTAAAAATAACAACAAAAGCGATCGTGCCCTTCATCTACTTTTTAACCTTGCAGTAGCCTCTCATTGTATTAAGAATAAAATCCAAACTTTTTTTAAAATTATTTTTGTAAGGTCACTTTATTTTTTTTAATATTTTATTTATTTATTTTTAGGGAGGGAAGGGAGGGAGTGGGAGAAAGAGAGATCAATGTGCGGTTGCTGGGGGTTATGGCCTGCAACCCAGGAATGTACCCTGGCTGGGAATCGAACCTGGGACACTTTGGTTCCCAGCCCACGCTCAATCCACTGAGCTACGCCAGCCAGGGCCAAACTTCTTACCATGTCATGTAAGGCCCTCTTTTGCCTTTGCCTACATCAACATCAACTCCGGCTACTGTCCACATAGCTTACTACCATTCTCTGGAGCTTTTAAGCTCTTTCCTGAAGGCAGACCTTTGTATTTGCTGTGCCCTCTGCATGGATTACCCACCTATCCTTATCCCTCAGATGTCAGCTCAAATTTGTCTTTAAAAAGGTCTTCTCTATCCCTGGCTGGTGTGGCTCCAGTGGATTGAACACAGCCTGTGAACCAAAGGGTCATTGGTTTCGTTCCCCATCAGAGCACATGCCTGGGTTGTGGTCCAGGTCCCCAGCAGTGGGTGCATGAGAGGCAACCACACATTGATGATTCTCTCCCTCTCTTTCTCTCTCCCTTCCCCTCTCTAAAAATAAATAAATAATTTTTTAAAAGGTCTTTTCTAACCACCCTGCCTAAAGCATATTTCTCCTATAATTTTGTTTCACAACTCTGATTATTTTCTTCTTCATAACACTACAATCTGTAATTACAGTGCGTATTGTCTCTCTACCTTATTAGAATGTAAGTTTTGGGGAGTGTTGACAGGGGATATCTGGTTCTTCTTACCAATGCATGTAAAGAATTACAGATCAGCACATCTGTTAGCGATTTATTAGTGATTCATTTCCATGGAGAGAACATGCCTAGCCAAGGTTGGGGGGTGGGGGGTGAAAGGCATAAGTTCAGGTCAAGGAAGGGTGGCAAAAGTAAGGATGGCTGAAGGCTGGGGTAGCAAGCCCCCAGGTGGCCTGAGGCCAGGTGGCCAGGGAGCCAAGAGCCAAGAGAGCAGTCCTTTGTTCTGAGGACGTATATAGTTGGCAGGATGGGAGTAAAAAAGTTACATATTTTTTTTAACGTTACATATTGATTGACTGGTAAATGTGGTGCCAGCTTTCCCAGGGAGGTCGTGACTACCTAAACTTGGGTATGTGTGGGGGTCTGTTAGCCCAAATCCTTATCTTGCTCCAGACCACATTTGCTCATCTTACTGTAAAACATATATGTGACAGGAGGCAGTTAATTTAAGTTGGGGCAGTTACCCAAAGTTATTTATGGGTTCTTTCTGCAAGCACTAGGGACTCCCTCATAAAAGAGACAGTGATCAGAGGTAGACAGTTAACCAAAGTGTTTTATGGACTTTTTCTTTGGGTTGGACCCTCTCCTGCATTCAGACCTTGGGATGAAAGCACAGTTTCAAGGCCTTCTTTCCCAGATAGCAGAAATGCTACATAGAATTTCAGGAACTTCCCTCCTTCCTTGCTAACATAGTGTTTCTTGTGATGTTGGAACACCTGGCAATATTATCTAACTATGCTCAGGACTGCTGAGTTACTGGGTGAGACATGTCTCCCTCCTCCTCCCTGCCTTGGTTTGCTATTCATTCTACCTAAGTGATAAAAGGCATTTCCTGGCAACCAGGATGCTAAACCCTGGCTAGTAACCATAGCACAGCCTCAGAGTTCTTCCTATGCTGTCTCCGGCCTCAGGGGGACCTGATTATCTTGTTCAATGTTGTTTTCCTGGTGTCTTGAACAGAGCCTTACATAAAGTAATCACTAAGTAAATAATATATCAGTACCTGAAAGGTATTATTTAACCTCTCTCAACCTTGATTTCCTTATCTGTAAAATGGGAGACAATATATATAAATTATCTGGCACATAGTAGGCCAAAATGTTAATTTCTTCTCCTTTTCTTTCTCATTCATAACTATTGGTTTATTGTGTCCTTTTCTTCTTTTCTGCCCATTCCACAAAAAAAAATAATATAAAAGTACAATTAAAAAATAACTATCTAAACAATATTTACACGAACAGTTATTAGAGGTTGATGAAAGAAATTCAAGAGTCTTCATTTGGTAAGAGTTATAGCTAACATTTATCTAGGGCTACTGTGTATCAGATTTTATGAAAGGCTCTATGTGCATCATCTCATTTAATCTTCAGAACAACTCTCTGAAGTAGGAACTATTATTTCCCATTATCTTATTAAAATACAGGTCAAGTAAGTATATTGTCTGTACTGATACAGCTAATAAGTGACAGGAAAGGAACTCCGAATTCTTTCTGATTTCAAATCCCAGGCTGTTAACTGCTATCTCCCTCACCTAATTTTTTTCAAGTTTTCAGTGCACCTGTACCCACTTCATCATACCCTTATTGAGTGCTTACTATGCGTCGGGCAGTGAAGAGAGGACACATTATAGTGTCTGCCCTCAGGACTAAATTTAATGGAGATGGCCAGGGTTTTACGGGCATTTGTAAACATTTTGTTACACTGTGTGCAGGTAGCTATCTCTGATATGTTATTTTATACTGTCCCATTAGAGCTCAAACTAGTCAAGCTTATCAACACTTCTCTCTTAAAAGTCTGCCCATGGTTAGAAATTATTTTTAGTAATCCTAGAATAGTAATCTGGATTCTACCAATACAACATCACTCACTGTGTATGCTTGATCTGGTGTTTCTCTTTCGAGAGTGTATTATTTCTTGTACAAATTATTTTTAATTGGTTTTTATTTTCCTTAAAGTAAAACAAAAACATAGTTTTAAAAGTTAGATAGTTCTAAAGGGTTTATAATGCCCCCAAATGCTGTATTTCCCTGCCTTATCCAGCCCCAGTTCCTCCAGACCTGCACTCCAAAAACTACTTTCACCTCATTTTACCTGGGTTTTGTTTTTTTTTCAGCATTTACAGATTTCCATTCTTGCAAGGAATTTATATGTACTGTTACCTTTTGATTAAACAATTTCAGACTTTTTTAGTGATTATGGAAGATGTGGATTTAGTTTTCAAACTTTACCATTCCCTCTGCTTTCCCTTCTCATACAACCAATAGTATAATTTTTGTTAAATCAAAAATCTGTATTTAAGTTATTATGCCTACTCATAGCTGAGTTTTCAGTCTAGTGAGATTGTTTCCTTTTTTACTTTTTGTCTCCCTAAAATTAATAACTGCTCATTTTTATTTTATTAGCTTTCCCTGTACTTTTCCCAATTTTCCCTACAGCTTCCAGTAGCCTCTTGGTCAACTTTTGCACTGATTCAATGACATCAGAAATCTATCAGTTTCAAGTAAATTCTAATTAGACAGCTCACTCTCTAGGCCTGTGGCCCAGGTGCCATTCTAGGGTTTCTCTTAATTTTCATCCCAGGAACTACCTTTG